TCTCTCTCTCTCTCTCTTCTTCTCTCTCTCTCTCTCTCTCTCTCTCTCTCTCTCTCTCTCTCCCCTGCGAGAGCTGCCCGCTACGGAAGATATTGATAATATCCCGTGCGATTAGCCAGACCCAGATTTATTAGCATAGCACAAGGCGAGGTAACGTTGACTTCGTGTATGGATAATTGATACGATGATCCTGCTTCCCGGAGTATTTCCCAGAGTGTTTCCTACCAATGTATTCCCACAGAAACAGCACTTCATATACGTGGGATACCAGTTACCTTATAACCTATTAAGGATGTCGAACGTGATGAAAAACGAGACAAGTAAAATTCGGAAACGCTATATTATATCGATGCATTCTCCTTAGTTGGATTAATACTAATTATCTTTGAAATAGATTTATGGGAATCCTTTAATGCACACTCCTTCTTTATCTTGATTACTTTTCACTTTGCACTCGGAAGAATTACACGTGTGGATTTTCACGAAAGCTTGCTTAGCTTCAACGGACCGAGAACGGCGCGTCTCTGGCTCATCCTCTTTAAATATTTCGTCGGTGCTTCCGATACTTTCGGCAAAGAGACCTCGTAAGAGATTGCACGAGTTCCCGTGGGATCGATTAAAAGGCCGAAATAACCGCGCTCTACCCGCCCGTATCCATAATCGCGATTTTGCACGCTCATAATGATTCATGCGCTCGCGAAGGATGCCGTGATGGTCCTCGGACGTGATAAACCTGCGGTCGCTACGAGCGATAAGGAGCGGGAGGAACAACCCCTAGGAATTGTCCCCGGGGAACCGACTGAAATTCTCCTCCGATAATAAAGTCGCCCCGCGATCGATCCACCGCGACGCGAAACATTTTCCGGCCGCAAGGAATCCACCGAAGCCACCCGGGCGCGTTTGCTTTCACGCTCCGATACACCTTATCCCTTTGATTTTGATTGAATTTCATGCCCGCGTCTGTTATGGCGACCGCACCCCGAAGCGACGCGCCGTCGCTTGTCGATACGCGACGAACGATACGATATTGAAACACCTCTTATAAGGTGTTATCTTAAAAGCGTCCCAAGTGTCTTAAAACGCGCAAATAATATTTCGATATTACGCTAAAAATTGTGGTGAAACAAGATTCAGCTTTGAAAATCTTCAAGAGAAAAGATTGACTTCATCGGAAATTTATTAATATATTCATGATGATTGTATGATTGTCTTAATTAGCGCTAATTATTATGCTTAATTATTGCTTTACAGCGATCAGTCAATTTCTATAAACATATAGCTGGTACATTCCGCGCGATATTCCTGTCTATTTTTCTTTCCATTGGCTCTATAATACATTTTCATTCAAAACCATCAAGAGCTAATTAATTTATCTTAAAGAAATCCTTATTATGAGATAGTCGAACAGATAACATATTTTATCTTATTTATATGTCAATCGTGGAAGGCTGCCAGAGAAGCAGAAGAGGGTGAGAAACCGATGCCGCTGCCAAATCGATTTCCGCGGTATTACGAGGATAGGAATAAAAGCATGTTTTGCAGATCTGTGGTCGCCATCGCGGATGAACGAATATTGAAAGTACGGATGTGTTAAAATGACCACGAACGAATCGCAATTATAATCTTAAAGCAGGGCTGGGTTCAGAAACATTGAAGATATTATTTTATCGTTGTTGTTCATCGAATGTTAATTGAGATAAAATGACAGAGGAGAAGGTAATATTATAGGCCGTGTCGATATTATTCGTAGGTCATTTGTCTCTGTTATTAAATAACGAATTCTATTAATTATTTATGGCCACATTTTTTTTTTAATAATCCGTTATGTAGAAAGAAATTATGTGCAAATAGCAAGTCAGCATTTATCTCTATCTATTTTCGCGATTGTACTGTAGTCTATTTAACAGTTTACTTTAAACAAATGTGTAATTTTATAACAAAATACTGTTTTTTTTTTAAATAAAACCAATTTTTTTAATTTATTTTTGTGATGACTCATATTACCACCCCTAGTTTTTTCTTCGACCCATTATTCAGTGTCGCTATATTAACATAAATAATATTCAACAAAATATTTCATTCAACTTTTAGTCTAGAATCTATTAAACAATACTCTGATAAATATAACTATTAAGTTTTCAATTTAAAATACAATTATTAATTATTAAAGTTACTGTATAAAATGAAAATGACTTTAATAAATGATCCTCCCTTCTACTCGGTGTACTCAGATTATTTCTAAACGTTCCAGTACAAATCTGTTCGCCTAGATTCTCTCTTTCTCTCTCGAGAGTTCAATGGACCGTGGTCCAAATAAACAGTGGCGTATTAACTTCGTCGACAGTCGCACGTGTCGACCCTTCCAGTCGTGGCGTCCACGAGAAAGGCACGGCCCGCATGTCTGGACAACGGAGATTGGTCCGGTCCCGTCCAAACAGAGCCGTAAGGCGTGTAACGCAAACAGTAATGGATTTATGTACACTCGTAAAACCAGCTCATTTTCTGCCCGTCCGTCAGTCATGCGTCGCGCGACTCAACACGCCCTCATCCCTGAGCAAGCACACATCCGAATCGGGTGTAATCTTTATTTCGTTGACTCACGTGCGAAATGAGAGTGTCTCTTCTCTCTCGCGTGACAGGCGCGTTGGCGTTTTTATTTACGGTTGTTTGGCGTGTCGGTTACAACGCCGGTGTCGAGTGCCGACGAAAAGTTAATAACGAGTCATTGAGAATCATCGTGTGTTACATGTTACATTCATGCGTGACGAGGATATCTCTGTACCGCTTCTTCTCGCAAAATGGCCC